AAATAATAGAAAGTGTGGCAGGCCAAAGATCCTAAAAGGAATATAACTACAGGCCTGACAGATGATTTATTAACAAGGAAAGAAATTAAATTTAAAATGCTGATTTTTAAAAACAGACTGGCAAAAAATCAAGAAAAACAAAGCAAATATAATTATTTTTTAAATTTGTACCCCTTCCCGCCCCGGGGTCAAATGTAACATACATAGCACAAGATTCTTCCCTCCAAATTTTCCGAAAATAACAAGAGGCTGAAAAATAGGGATTATTCTGAAGGCTTCCATGACTGTGAGAATACCTGAATTTGTGCTTTTCTGATTCTAAATTTAAGCTTTGGTTTATATTATTCTTTGTCCTCTCTTTTTTTCCTGCATAAAGGGTGATTGGTCTGTCGATGCTATAAAGGAATTCCGAAGACTCTGTGAGCTGAAATTGCTGGTGGGATTGGTAGATGAATATATAAATGATGTCCTTTACCTCTTCCTTTGTGATACCAGTTCCGATGAGGACGTCTACTTGCACAATGTTTTGAATTCAGAGGGTCATGCACTCATTTGTAGGGAGAACATTCCTTCCAAGGTAAAAAGAAGACAAGTTATGATGGGGCAGGGTCTCAGTGCTGAATTATGGCAAGTAATTCTCAGACTGGCTTGAGCTGGACCGAAAAGAAAAAAAAAATGGAACAAGACGATCATAAGGGAAACTGAGATTGTGTCAAAGAAATCCATATTGGAAGAGGGAGTTAATTTTTTTACAATTGCTAAAGTGATATAATCATACAATTTTTTAAAACGTATCAATTATCTCTCTAAAAAAAGTTTTTACATTTTTTAAAAAAAAGTTTTAAAAAGTAATCTGGATATAAAGAAATAGGTTCCATAAAATTACCTTTAAAACAGCCTAATTTTCTAATCGGACTACAAATCAAAAATCAATAATAGGAAAACAAGCCTATTGATGGATTGGCATCATACCTAATTAACAAATTAGTGTTCTGTTTGTAACTCTACCTTCAGGTACAGATAGCATCATATAAATAGAACTGAAGTCCTCAAGCTGAGCTGTATGAAAATAGCAAATGAAAACAAGTAATGTTTCATCCTGACGACCTTGTATGTTAAACAGATAAAAATCAGAACCAGATGAGTTAATTCTATTTTGTTGTAAGCTACCTTGACAGAACCTTGCAAGTCTGAAAATGCCGTCATCCTCTTCCCCCGTTTCTATTACAGCTGAAGAAATGGCAGAGGCTCTCTTCTGAGCCTCTTGCCCCAGCTACTATAGTTGTGAGCTACCGTGACCCGACAAAAGCGCGCACAACAAAAGCGCGCCGACAAAACCGCGTCGCTAAAACCGTGACATCAATGCGCCGACAACAGCGCGTCGACAGAAGGGCGATTTACAACAGCGAGTTGACAGAGGGGCGATTTAAGTTAAGGTAAGGGTTAGCATTAGGGGTAGGGTTAGGGTTAGGTTTAGGTTTGCAGCGCCCTTCTGTCAGCGCGCTGTTGTCGGCGCGATTCAGCGCTCATTCGTCGGCGCGGTTCAGAACTCACAGTTTTGTCACCGCGGTTTAGTCGGGCGCCCTTTTGTCGGGTGCCCTTTTGTCGGTGAACCGTGAGCTACACTATTTCTTATGTGGCCATCCCCTGGCAGCCACTCTTTGCCCAAGGTCTTTCCCACATACCATTAACCACCCTGGGTTGCAGCTTGTTTCTAAGATCGGGCTGGAAGCTATTAAATATTTCTTTGTTTTTACTTTTAACAGGGCTTCAACGAGCTAAATCCTTTTACGCTATACATGAAACTGCACAGAAACCAGCCTGCTGATTTCACAGAAGCAGACCCTTCATTGCTTCAGGAGGATTTTCTTGTGAACTTCCCAGGAACAAATTCAGAGACTTGCAATAATGAAGAAGTTTCACAGGTGGGAAAATCTGAGCATCTGATTATTGCTCCTCATACTATTTACGTATTTTTTTCTCTGTTCCTTTAAAACCCCCAGAAGACTTGAGGAAGTTTTTCTTCTAAAATTAGCATCCAGTAAATATGGCTGTATGGTTGGGTGAATCCCCAAAATATTACATTGAGCCAAATGGATTCTCTAAAGTCAAAAGAAAAACAGTTTTTCTGGGTGGCTTGCATTGTGCACTGCAGCACTTGACAATTGTTTAGCATTGATCTGACTTTCTTCACAATCTGTCTTCATATTTTTAAATTAAAAGGAGTGTTGGCACGATGCGTAACAGAACATCAGCCTCCAACATTACCTCTGTTCCCAATAGTTATTCTGGACCCAACATGAAAATGAAAATGATGGGTAGCCGCAATCGGTTCCACCACAAAACCGCGGTAGACTAAAGCGCGCTCGACGAAAGCGCGTACGTGATGTCATCACAGCGCGACGAAAACAGCATGCTGTGAGCGGTAAATTTAAAATTAACATGTAAATCTAAACCTAACCCCCCCAAACCTAACCCTAAGCCTAACCCTTAACCTAACCCTAAACCTAACCCTAACTCTAACCCTAAACCTAACTCTA